TCTGTGGGGCCTCTCGCAATCGCAGGCAGGCTTTCTCTGGTTGTCTCTTCCCTCCTGTGGGGTCTCTGTGAGGCTGGGGAGTAGACTTGCAGAGTCTACGCACAAAGGTCTCGCCGGAGTTTTAGATCCTTTGATGACTGCTCAGCGGAATGAAACCGGAGCTCCCAACATCAGCCTCTTAAACTGCTGCAGGACGCTCCCCGGTCGCCTTGGCAACTGGGAAGGGGAGAAGGAAATACTAGACCTCAGGGAGAATCAGGCTGGTGACAGGGACATCCTGGAGGGCAGGGATGATGTCTGCATAGATGAAAAGCAAGTTGGGAGGTGTGCAGAGAGCTCCCAGCCAGCTGGCCGGGAGGGAGGGGGGCCCAGAGTAATTTGATTAGGCCATTGAATTAGGCCATTTGGCCTAGTGACACAGGGGACAATTGGAACAATACAGAGCAGGACGCTGAGGGCATGTGATACAAGGCATTAATAAGGGGATTAATAATTGGCAGGCTCCCATACCGTGACAAATTAATAAAAAAATACCTTTTTATTCTTGTTTACGGCCACCATAACTCTCCAAAAATCAAATCCTCCAGCCCTAGAGTTTTACCATTGCTACAGATTTTCTACCAATTAGAATCTGCTATTCAGGAAAAACTGCTGTTCCAGATCTCAGTCTCTGTGCGTTATATTGCTCATATGTTGTATATAACATGGACAATTAGGTAGGTGTGAAGGAGACAGTAACTAGCACTTAGCATTCTTTTGTTTATCACTGTTTGTCTATCCTGTGAATCAATGCCACAATTCTGACACTCTAATTCTAAAAGTGAGGTCTTATTACCCTACCCTTCTTTAAATTCATACAGCTTATTTTACCTTCTTTATCCCATTCTAGTTTGCTCCAATAAAATCCAATCGGATAAAACGAGCGCTGGATAAACATATAAAAAGGAGCAGCTAGCATGAAAAGGTAAAAACCTCAAACCCTCTCATCAACAATAAAATAAAACTCATGCAGCGCTAAAAGTATGGTAAAACACATAAAATCGTAAATTCTAAATTATATGATACCAATATAACGACATTGAAAAATAAGAAAGTGACCAAGTTCAATGACCTTATCTGTTATAGTGACATAAATAGATAATAATATAAGATGACAAGCTATAATATCCACAAAGGTTTAAAAATATGAAAGTGACCAAGTTCAATGTCCTTATCTATTATAGTGACATAAATAGATGACAAGATATAATATCCACAAAAGTTTAAGGTGCCAGAAATCAATACACGCCCTATTGCGTATGGTGAAGTGCAAATGTACGCACTATAAACATATGGTGAAGTATAGATGTAATAAGAACGTCCCCAATTGGCGTTTCCAGGTGCATATGTGATTAGTCTCTGATTAGTGTAGATCCGTGATGGTGAAAGATAAAATAAATGGCCGTAGATTGCACTCACCAGAGAGCGCAAATGAATGCGCATTTGAGTATTAAGGACCAACTCCTGGTCATCAGTATCAGGTTACTTAAAACATCAGGTCATCTGGTGGGCTTCAGGGGGGCAGACAGCACACCATCAGGGGAATCACACTAGTAACTTCAGTCAGGTCACAATGGGTATGCTTGTGGAAAAGACTCACCAGAAGTTTGCCAAAACAAAAAGACTTCCCATAGTGTAGTAACTTTTAATTTATTCAAGGTTAAAATGAAAAGATGAAATAAACTCACCAGGGGCGGACTGACAACTCATGGGGCCCCCGGGCAATAGGGGATCATGGGACCCCTGTGTCCTTGCCCAAACTAAAAAAAGCCTATGAAAAAGGTACCAGGGGCATCTCATGGGGCCCCCTACTGACCCTGGGCCCTCGGGCAGTGCCCAAGTTTCCAAATGGTCAGTCCGCCCCTGAAACTCACAATGGATAAATGATGTCCAAATAGTAACAATCTGGTAATCTGATGTCCATAAGAATGTGTACCAAGCATACTGTGTCAATGAGGCAGGCTTCCTGACATGTTTCGTGTACAAGCACCTTTTCCAAGGCCTTGCTCCAATGTTTTACCAACTTTTCAGCAGTTGCTTGCCTCTGTTTTTAGCTTGGCTTAGAATCAATATTCAGTTGTTGAAGCTACCGTGATCCGCCAGTGAAAGTCCAATAGAAGACTAATTTCATTGTGCTGGTTTGTATAGCTGCAAGGAATAACAAACTTTAGGGGCTTGACAGCAGAATGGTGGTGCAATGGTAGACCTTGCTGCTTTGTAGATAGCAGTTTTAGGCTTCATGTTTGAATTTTGCTGTACTAAACTAATTGGCCCTTTATTTTTTTTTTCTGTATGGGAAGCCACAAACAGTTCTGTGTTGACTACTCCTGCAACCACTTACTCCTGTATCTTCTTTTCCTTGTTGACTTATGATCTTACCAATATCCATTCCAGCGTTTGTCCCACCACAAATCTACCATTCTCTACTAAACCATCAAAAAGTATAACCTAACTCCGTCCACCTTCACTAAGAACCACCTCTACAGCACTCACACTTCCAATAATGTTATTTAATTTAACTTTAATACACAAAAACATGATTAAGTCATCAAAGACCAACAGTGTGCGAGGTTATTGCAATGTTGTTTGTGGTCAGTCTATGTATATCCTGTGCTTGGTACAGAGACATTAGATGTGCTATCTTGTGAGAGCTGTCTATTTACACAATGGGTTTTATGTGTTTAAAACTGCAAACGTGTATTACTTCCTTTTTTTCAGTTAAAGTGGAACCGCAGTGTAAAATATTTTATCAGGTAGGCATTTATCGCAGCAGAGATTCTGTATGCCTCTTGTTGGCTAGAAAATTTAATTTAAGTGCACATTGAGCTATGCATGTGTATCTGAATGTATTGTACAGTCTCAGCATGCCATGAGTGGTGGGCTATTGGGCTTATTGTATATTGTGCAAAAATGCCCTCCCTGATAGCTCAATTCTTTAAATTGCAGGAGTTCAAGCCAGGATGCCTTGGGTGGTGGGATTAACTAATTTAAAGTGTTACTAAACCCAATACAGTAGAATCAATCTGTATATGCAGTAAAGCATGCTTGTTATACTCACTGTGCAATTTAAGAAGTTAATCCTCTGCGTTGTCTAAAAAGGATGTTTAACCACTTGACCTCCAGAGGATTTACCCCCCTTCCTGACCAGGCCTCTTTTTGCTACTCGGCGCTGCACTAATTCAACTGATAATTGCGCGGTCATGCAATGCTGCACCCAAACGAAATTGACGTCCTTTTTTTCACACAAATAGAGCTTTCTTTCGGTGGTATTTGATCACCTGTGTGCTTTTTATTTTTCACACTATAAACAAAAAAAGGCCCAAAATTTTGAAGAAAAACAATATTTTTTACTTTCAGCTATAAAAAATATATAGTAAACTCAAAGTTGGTTATACATTTAGGCCAAAATGTATTCTGCTCCATGTTTTTGGTAAAAAAAAATCCCAATAAGTGTATATTGATTGCTTTGTGTGAAAGTTATAGCGTCTACAAACTATGGTATAGATACTGCAACTTACACCATTTTTTTGCTATACAGCGCTGCGCTGGTTTAACGGACAATTGCGCGGTCATGCAATATGGTACATAAATGAAATTTACATCCTTTTTTTACCCACAAATTGAGCTTTCTTTCGGTGGTATTTGATTGCTTGTGCGGTTTTTATTTTTTGCGCTATAAAAAAAAAGGCTGACAATTTTGAGGAAAAAAAACAATATTTTGGACTTTTTGCTATAAAACATGTCCAGTAAAAAAAAATTTAAAATTTTTTTAAAGTTATAGCGTTTACAAATGGCGAGAAAGATACTGGGATTTTTAGGTTTTTTTTATACTAATAATTGCGGCGATCAGCGACTTATGGCGGCAATCAGCGACTTATGACGGGACTGCGGCGGACATTCTGACACTGGGGGGGGGGGGGGGGTACTGACTTGGGGTCACTGACATCCCCAGTGACACCAATACAGTGATCAGTGCAAAAAAAAAAAACACTGACACTGTACTAATGGCACTGGGGAGGAAGGGGTTAAGTTTATTTTTCAGGGAAGGGTTATCTGTGTGAGGGGGAGTGTTTTACTAGGGGGCGGGGGGGGGGTGTACTGCAGGGGACACCGCTGATCGGGAGAGAGAAACTCTTCTGTCCCGATCAGCTTGTCCTGGAGCTGTCAGGGAACTGACAGAAAGCACAGCTACTGAAGCTGTGCTCTCTGTCAGCGATTGCCACCGATCGCCAGAACATAGCCAGTAACGACCAGCTGTGACCCGACGACTGACATCCGCGGCTGTGATCGGCGGGACAGGTAGGGCGGCAGCGCGCCTCGTGCACGCCCCCTACCTGTTTACAAAACACACTTTTTAAAACGTGTTTTTGCCCAGCCCTGCCGCCGTATTTATACAGTGGCTGAGCGGCATGTGGTTAATCTTGTCTTCTCTGATCCTACTCTTCTTCCACTGTCCCCAACTCATCTTCTGAGAGAACAGAGCCTTGGGGGCAAGCTGCACATGCTCAGTTTGGTATGCATTGCTAGAGAGTGTTTTTTTTTTTTTCTTGGGAGAGTGCATGTGATCAGCACAGGGCCAATCCACACTGTCCAGACAGAGGGTCAGGGGTCCAGCAATCTCATAGGACAGTGAGAGGAGAATGAAAACTCCTCCTACAAGCTTTGCTGGACACTGATAGAAGTCACAAGACTGCTCTAACTGCTGATGAGAAAAGATATTTAGCAGTTTATATTTACTAAAATATTTGCATTTCCATGTTGTGTGTACTGTGGGAACCCAGATATAGTGAATTCATAGTCCTGGGTTTAATAACACTTTAACCTCCCTGGCGGTATTCCCGAGTGTAGCTCGGGGTAAAATTTCAGTACCAAAAGCGGTAACCCCGAGCTACACTCGGGAATACCATGCGGCGTTGCTCAGGGATTCCCATGCAGCACTTACCTTGTCCTTCGTTCCCGCGATGTGTCCCCTGCAGCGTCCCCGGCCATCTCCTCTGGCCAATGCAGGCATCCGGCTTCCGTGTTCCAGTCCCTGTGAGCGTAGGGACGTACGGGACGTACGGGGGGGCGGAACCGGCGGCAAATTTAAAAATTTTAGAAACTGTCATTTTCTAATAAACGAATATGACATAGTATAAAACATTACTGTTTCAAAGCATTTCACATACATTTTGTCCCGAGTGCTTTGTCCTGTGCCCTGCCTGCATTTTTACTGTTCTTTCTGCCTGGAAACTGAGAAAAGTCCATGGCGTCCAAAAAGCGTCCCTTTAGGTCAAGAGCGGTTTTAGATCAGCTAGAGAACAGCGATAGTAAATCAGAACCACTTGCAGAATTGAGTGATAATGATTCGTGGGGAAATTCGTCATCAGACACTGAAAACAATTCTGCGACTTTGCTCAGTGATGTGCGAACTTGGCGCTATATTTAAAATTTCAGTGTTTTTGGTCTGATTATATTATTGAATTAAATTTATTATTATTATATTATTATTTTTTATGATTATTTATTAAATTATAATTTATGATTTCTTGTTTCAAGTTTTATCATACCCGGAATGTTTACTAGACTCTTGTTCGGACAGATTTCAGTGATTTATTCCTAAAAATTACAGGCCTTCAATAAAAAAAATACATATTTCCATGCAAAAAAATTTAACGCTTTCAGCACAGAAATATGGACATAATCAGACCGCTAGGGAGGTTAAGTCATCCTATGCCTGCTCATTAAGTCAGGTAAAGACATCAAACCCAAAGACCGAGCAAAGATGTCAGCTGCAATGTGGGAGATCACATAAGTTGCATTGCTGAAGGGGAGGTAAGTGCAGCTACCTTTTTAAAATGCAAAAGCCCAATCAGTTCCTATGTAAAATCCAATGCTCCTATTTGGTAATGGTTTAGACAACTTTTGGGCTTAATAAAGTCTGCTCTAATGACTCTGGAAGATCGTCCTGCAGGCAGTGTACATATGTGCAGAGTTGATAAGTTACATCAGTAAGTCTTGATGTGCAAAACACATAAATCCAGAAGAAACTTCAACAATCATGATGATTGCTTTGAATTTAATGCTCACTGGTTTTTGGGCTTGACCTTTGTGGCTCATTTCAAAATTACTGTTACAGTTTTGTAAGAACTGGGAACTGGAGATGGCCCAGGGGGAGATTAATTGGATCTTCCATTTAGTAGCAGAATTTTTTTTTTCTTTGACGATGTTTAAACTTGCACTATATATATATAATATGTATCTTTATCAAAGTCTACCAAGACTCTTTTTAAGCTCATACACTTTTAAATGTTTACATTTAAAGCAATTGTAGAAATGGGAATTGTCAGGAACCTACCTCTGTGCATTATGTCCTCTTGTTGTCCTTTTGTTACGGCTTATGTTTTTTACTGTGGCTCTTCCTGTCCTCCTCTTAGGTGTCTACTCATTGCAACTACTGGTTCTCCTTGTGTCTTCCCTGGGTTCTCCTGTCTGCCTGTTTCTGTGTTTGCTCCCTTTTTTGCAGTCTTTCATAGCTTCACTTTGTTACATACTTATTTCCTTGGTCCTGACTCTGTGAATTCTGCTTACCCATTTATAAATACACCATCATCTATAATCTAGCTGATAGTTGTAGTGTTCAGTTTGCTGTGTCTTTGTAATCCTAATTTCCTGTAGCTTGTATCCTGTTCACATTTCTTGCTCCCTTTACCCTGTCCCTGTACATTCTGCATCTGATTCCTGTCTGTTCTCTGTTACCTTTCCTGATATTCATGGTTCTGCTACTCTTAGCTGTGACTAGTTGGAGTCCTCAGATTTGATCACTTACTTGACCTTGCCAGAATACTTGCTGCCCTGAGCTTCACTGTGTTATTGACTACATCCCTTCTCAAACGATTGATATAGATGCTTGACTTTGTTACCCCCAACCACTACTTTGGCTACTCCCTCTGCATTTTTCAATTCAACTTCACAGGGAAAGGGTTTTCTGTAGAACTCCAAACATTAAGTTTTGGGCACTCAGATACAGTACACATACATAAAGCACCCTCAAAGGTTGGCTTCTATAAATGAAGTGTGCCACAGCAGTGGTCATCAAATCTTTAAAGGACCAACGTTTGCAGAAATGCCGTTTATAGAAAATCACTTATTCAAATTACAAGAGTTGAACAAGTATTTAGATAGATGTTTTTTCTAATAATGAATATGTGTATACATACACTATATTGCCAAAAGTATTGGTCGGCCTGCCTTTACATGCACATGAACTTTAATGGCATCCAGTCTTAGTCTGTAGGGTTCAATATTGAGTTGGTCCACCCTTTGCAGCTATAACAGCTTCAACTCTTCTGGGAAGGCTGTCCACAAGGTTTAGGAGGGTGTCTATGGGAAGGTTTGACCATTCTTCCAGAAGCGCATTTGTGAGGTCATGTACTGATGTCGGAGGAAAAGGCAGTCGCTGCTCTAATTCATCCTAAAGGTGTTCTATGGGGTTGAGGTCAGGACTCTGTGCAGGCCAGTCAAGTTCTTTCACTCCAAACTCGCTCATCCATGTCTTTATGGACCTTGCTTTGTGCACTGGTGTGCAGTCATGTTGGAACAGGAAGGGGCCATCCCCAAACTGTTCCCACAAAGTTGTGAGCATGAAATGGTCCAAAATGTCTTGGTATGCTGATGTCTTAAGAGTTCCCTTCACTGGAACTAAGGGGCTAACCCCTGAAAAACAACCAAACAACATAATCACCCTCCACTAAACTTTACACTTAGCACAATGCAGTCAGGCAAGTACTGTTATCCTGGCAACCACCAAACCCAGACACGTCCATCGGATTGCTATGGGACAGCATGATACTACTTCAACACTGTATAATTCCATGGTCAAAATTTACAAAAATTTTAATTTTTCATTACGGGACACTTAATCAGTTCAATTCATGAGAATTGAAATATAATTTTTTGCTCCATATATGTCCGGGGTAATTTACATGTCATGACATATGTCATATCTTTTGACCTATATTGCTTGCTGAAAGCTAAGAATTCACATTACTATTTTTGACTCTTGTTATGACCTGTTTGTTTTGTTATAGTTCCTTATGGAACATACTAGCGCTGTATAGTCTCACATCAGTCAATTGACTATTTTTCATTAAGTGTTCTTGCATGGCAAGACCACTTACTGTTATCTCACATATATATTCTTATTATTATAGCCAAATTTACCACCCTAACTCCTCCCACAGTTTTTACACTACATAGACAGTAATATACAGAAACGTGCGGATTGTTCCCAATTGGTGTGCTATTACTTTGTGGAACGTTTTGCCAAATGGTTCACAAAATATCAGCATTTTTGTGGTGAAATTGGTCCCATAGGAATGAATGGCGGAATGTTCAAAACTAGAGTGGGAGCTGAAAAATCAGGACATGATTTCCAAACTACTACCACTCCCTCATTTTCAAGCCCACCTACACAAATCTTATATCAAAACGACGTTCATCTATCCCTGCTGTCACTAAAAATGTCAACAGCTAAGCCATAGTCCTGCTAGTTTTCACAATATGACCATTTGTTTGCAACTCACGCCGCTCATTGATATTCATTGAAACTCCACTCTAGCCACCTCAAATTTGAAGGGCAATTTCTAAACTGTGACTGTGCCTTCATTTTTAATATTTCAGAGACATACTATGCATCGAAATGTAGGTCTGGGTCTTGTAATTCTCACAATATAAAGCTCTTCGGTGTAGTATTTATAATTTTTAAACTACAACCGTTTGAAGATGGCAACCGCCAGTGAAGTGAGCAAGTTGGAGCAGTTTGTTTTTAACCGCTCTTCTCTGCCCTTGCTGTAGAGTGAGTTGCCATAGGACCCCAGGTATGTGAGCAGCCAGCAGAGTGACAAAAGCTAGAGTGTGAGCTGAAAAATCAGGACATGATTTCTAAACTGCCATCACTCCCTCATTTTCAAGCCCTAGACTACTGGTGGAGGCAAGAACACTTCATACAATTTCCCCAGAAATTGTAGCTTTTCTAGTTACTAATGCATTGAAATCCGGATTGCTTATCTTTCACTGTTTTTAATTATGTGTTCAGTGGTTGTATGTGTCACTATTAATGGATATCACCTTTTTTCTTCGCAATGGGTTTAATAAAAATATGTGGTTTTACACTGGAGCTATATTGCACTACCTACTTTGGTTGTTTGCGTTATGCAGCTACAACTTTTTTGTTTTCTATATTTAGCCAGGTTAACACCCACACCTTCATTTTAAGGTGCGTCTTTGAGCTCAACAGTAGGTTACCCCGCCTATATTTAGTGGTAAATCTTTCTTTTTGAATGGAACTTCAGTTGCCTGACAAAGGAGTCCTTCATGGCCCTGAAACAGTGCACTACTCTGTTTGTGATGAGATCTTTCTTCAATAAAAAGATGTTTGGACTTAATTTTAAGATCCATGGTGTGCTGTGAACATTTACATTCAATTGGACAGTTGCCCACCTGATGACACTGATGGAGGCCTGAGAGGAACATGAGTTCCCCCCCTTTCCTCGACTTTCTCTGCATGGCAGCTGCCAAACAGCGCCACCTGTGAAGGGAGGCTGACCTGCACCTGCCTACAAGTGTTCCATGGGTCTGAGCCCTAGTGGAGATATGTCAATATACAGGCCACAGATGTCAAAGTGCTTTTTAAAAACATTAATGCATTTTTCCTTGACATTGGAGTTGATTACTGAAGAAGTAGAGGTTGTACACTTAAAAAAGTATACTGTATATATTCAGTTAATAAGGCAAAACTGTATTCACTCTGAATACACAGTCAAGTGTTAGCAGAAAAGTATAATTTGGTTACAGACTTCCCTTGTTCTGTTACATTCACTTTGCAACATGAAATTTCTAAATGAAAAACCTCGACATCTTTAGTACAAAGAAAAACAAAACTATTTTTAGGCTAGGGTTACTTGTAAAGTTATTGGTACAAGTGAAACCTTCTAAGAGACTTGAACATAGCTCCTTGTTAGTTGAGCCATATTAGCCCTATTAGGTCAGTGATGTTGGGGAATTTCCCAGCTTCAGCTGATTGGGCTGGCAACCTGCTATCATGTGAGAGTTTCCTATGGGTTCAGGTCAAACTGGGTTCAGCCGAACTTTCGCTGATCACTACTAGTGAGAGAAACAGCTTGATATCACCAGTGGCAGCACAGTGGCTAAATGGTTCCACCTGGCAGTACTAGGGTCGTTGGTTCAAATCCCAACCACGGCACCACCTGCCTGGAGTTTGCATGTTCTCCCTGTGCCTGCGTAGGTTTCCTCCGGGTACTCCAGTTTCCTCCCACACTCCAAAGACATGCTGGTA